TGTTTAGGTAACAAACATAATTTAACATTGCTAAGTATTGCTCAGTACTTTTTTTCATTGCTTAAACCCAGTTTGTGGAGGCCTACTATATAAAATATCTAACTCACTAAATGCAAAATCTATAGAAAAGTCCTTACAACATCAAAGGCTCACTTGATCCTCGGAGCTGTTATAAATGAAAAACTGTCTCCGATACAAGCAAATAAGGCACTTAATGCACTCTTTCTGGCTGTGATGCTATTTTTCCTGTGGGTTTTGAAAATGACCTTCCTGTAAGCATCAAGGACTGCAACTTTTCAGATAAAGAAACTTGTTCTTGTTTTAAGTCTATGCCAGGTTCATTCCCCTATAGCCCACAGTTTTCAAAAGCAGAAGAAAAAGTAATCCAGAATTAAAAAAATAAAAACCCCTCTGTTTCCAGAATGAAGTTACCCTGTCAGCTTGCCTTGGGCCTTAGGTGGAGAAGTGGAGATTAAAGAGTCAGTATTCCTTTTCATGTTTCGTCTGCCAGTTTTGTGAATGTAGAAAGAGTACTTGTGGCTGCAGCTAAGTATCCGACTATGGTATTAAGTATGGCATTTTCATCCTTATGCGGTAAATTAAAAATATTCTTATAAGTTTATCACAAGGGAAATTCAGTATCAATACCATCCAGTCATTGATAAAGGTATTTCAAGGAGAAGGGTGAATAGCACAGCAGATGTAACCTCAATATTTTCACCAATTATAAAGAGCCTCTTTGTGAGGCTGTGTGAATATGTAAGATGATCTCATCATTTCCTATTTACTCAATACTTACCTGAATACGCAATATAGTGTAGCTTTTAAATGCATATGCACATGAGTGAAATGTCCTTTTGTAAGAGACTTTGCTAAAAGACTCCTTTTGATACACAATTTCTTCATCTCCTCTTCAAACTGAATTAAGCTACTTCCTTCTTTTAAAACACAACTCACTATTTAGAAGCTTTGGCTTTGATTTCTCAGAACAGCCTTACAGGAAGAAACTATGTTCTTTTTCTTTTTGTAACCATATTTCTTAAGACAAACTTGTACTGATTTATTTTGATTTTCTAACAGAAAAAGGTTCCTGCGAAGAACACTGACTGCTTCTTCTTCTCCCCTCTCTTTCACTCCACTGCTACAAGAATATTGCTGTGCGTAAAGCTGCTGAGGAAAACTGAAATCCCTCTGTTGGGAACTGTGTATATAGCAATATATTCATACTTAGACAAATACGTGAGATATTTTAATTTTTTTTTTCAGTCCTTACCATGATATGCTGTGTATTTCTTGCATGCTAACCACTGAATTCAAATTGAGTAACTAGGTAACATTTCAGCAGATTTTAGTCAAGTTTAGCATCCACCATTTTAGGGAATATATCTGTGCAGCTAACTTAAAGGTCACCAGTTTTAAAACATTAGCACTCAGTTATTCCCTTTGATTGTGAAGTTTATATATATGTGTGTATATACGATTGTATAACCCAGTCTTGCATAATCCCATGTAACTTCATTCACAACGGATTCCACAGATGTGGTCACAATACTAATCTTCCCCCATACTTCATTGTCTGCAGACTGGGTTCTCCATGTATAATGCAAATAGAAATTTGAAACTCTGCATTTCGCAGTGTACAAAAAATACAGAGCTAAACCTTGATTCTCAGTGCGGGATTTGCTTTAAGTACAGTCTGAATAAATGTGGGTTGCAGTCCCCATGACATTACTTTTTCAGAAGTTTATGCCAAACTGAAATGCGTGGTCTGTTGCTTGTAACAAAACATAACTTCAGAAGCAGAGCTTAGGATGAACTGATGCTTTACTTCCATTTCTTCTCCAAATCAGTAACTTCATTAATGAACTCCCTGTAATTGCAAACTGAAGATCCTCAAAACGAAACTGGACTTTACTCAGTAATACTGGGCTATGAGGAAAATAGATTTCCCTTACTAATATGCCCTTCTAGTTGCTTATTTTCTCAAAATTCTCATCTAATTTCTAAGTTTCAACTTTACAATGCTAACAGTTAAAAATAACGTAAACAAGAAAACATTTCATTTCTTTTTCATTCTTTCTCTTTCATCACACTGAGAAATTTCTTCCTGTGCTATGGTATGAGCTTTCCGAAGTGGCTTGGGGATGCCTAGTGCACTCTCAAAGGATGTAAGAACCAGATTTAGCAGCACAGCACAGCTGGCCTGCCAGAGAATCTCTTTACAGAGAGAATTTTTATATTGAATCATGGGACTTCCTTCGGAGTGTGGTCCACAAATCTCTCAGATGAAACATACTTTAGACAGATGCAGGAAGGAAAATCCTGTGTATGTGGCAATATATCTGAGCTGGCCAAATAAAGAGTGGGAATTTGCAGGTAGATGATCTTCATGGGAAGCTCATTTTCAAGACAGAATTTCAGATATTCTTTGGATGTATAGTAATTTGGGAGTCTGAACTCTGGCTGCAGATGGTTTGTATGCAACTTTGATGCACTGAATTCTCTTTCTTGAAAAAACAAGCACCTTTTCCTTCAGAAATAACTTATAAGGTTTTAATTTCCTTTTTTTTTTCCAGTGGTTCTGAAATGCATGCTCTTGTTTAGCCCATGGCATAGACTTTCCCAGTGGTTCAACAACTAATATACAAGATACTGAGGGAGGAAGGACTTGTCTAGGATGAAATGGGCTGAAAGAGCTGGAGGATCTGGGTCGTCATAGGTATCGCTGTGCAGAATTGCAGTGTGCTCTTCAGTCACTGGCCAGTGATTCACCTTGACTTTCAAATGTGTGTGGGGGCACTTGCAAGGATTCATCCTTTGGCATTTGTATAGCATGGTAAACCCCTCAGATAAAAACTGTTACACAGAAGACAACAGTACAATTAGCAGATACAAGTGCAGATAGATTTTACTAGTTTCTGCACATGCTTGTGGGTGTTCAGATTTCCAGAAAGAAGATAGTACCACTCCAGACTTCCAGGCATTTCAGTTTTACTATCAGCTCTAAGCAGAGTATTTAGGATGTCCTATTTTGCTGAAATGGGAAAGTCTACCGTAATCAAAACTTACAGCAGTACTTTTCTCCCCTTATTCTTCATAACTGAAAAAGTTGGGCTAATTTATGTGAGATCGTTTTCTAAAGTGCCGTACAACATTGGCTTGACAGAAATGCTTCGTAGTCAGTTGTTTGTATTTTATCTTTATTCTGCTGTATAATGAGGTTTTGAAGCCAATGAATTATCATAGCAGAATATTTAGAGCTTGGAATACAAAAGTAAAAATTTAGGAAGAGTTATGGATCTCTGCTAGAAATAAACCTAGTTAATGAGAGATTGCTGAAAAGCAAGAAGACCCAGATCACGAATATTTTTCGTATTGCAGCTGAACCTAGCTTGCACTTTACATTCACTTTACATTGCACATTTTTTACATGCATTTTTTTATCCGGTAGTTGAAAAATTGGAGTGGGGATTGGGGCATTCCCTCAAGGTAAGAAAGCGTCTGGTTTCATATGGCCACCTTTGTAAATATCTTTTTCCGTAGGTGTCTGTTGTACATGGATTTAGATATAGATACATTCATATGTATAATTAGGGGTATAGACATTTGGTTAACTTGAAAGCTCCACAGTGTCGTTTGTCACATTTATGGTAGGAACTTTAACTGCCTTAAATACTTATTCTTTTCCAAAGTGACTTTTTTTCTTTTCCCTCTACAAAAAAAATGAAAATGTACTTCATGAAACTATTGTATATGAAGCACTTATTAGCCGTAATTAAATGGACAATATGAATTTACTACGTCTTTAGGACTCTGGCTTGTTCTGGTTTAGAGCAAGATGATTAATGCAAATACATATTACTTGAGATAACCATTTAGCAGCTAATTTAGCCAAATTTATTACAGCAGTTAGAGGTTTTTCATTTTAGCAGACGGAGACAAGGACATGACAAAAGCAGGTGGTGTATATGAATGCACACTGCCCTCTAGTGCACAAAGCTTCACGGGATTAGTGAGAAATGCAGGAGAGAGAGTGCTCCAGTAACAGTCGTGCCCAGATTTTGTGCAGTTTAGTGTTTTTTCAAAACCACGCTGCTCCATCTCAGTGCAGATTTGCCTTTCTCCCCCTTCTCCTCGTACTGAAGCATCAGATACAAACCAAATCCGTTTCCACTTGGCTATATTTTGGCTGAAGTATTATGTTAAACATCTGTATTTTTAAGCCTTCCGGCTGTGATCATTTAATAACACTGTTTCACATTACTGATTGCTTTTACTTATTTCGCTGTTTCCTAGATTATTTCAAACAGCCAAGATTGCTGTCACTCTTAGGCTCTAACCAAGCCATTCTGTGCCTCCGTTAGGCCTCTTTCTCAGTCTGTTGGTGGATTTACTTTACTCTGGTAGAAAGTAAATTCTCCCAAGACTTTCCCCCCACTGACCAGTGGAGATTTGGTTCATCTGAGAACTGTAAATTCTGTTTGACAAGATCAAAGAAACAGATGTATAAGTTCAGTGGTTGATATCGCCTGCAATAAGGAAAAATGATCAAAGCAGCAGGGGTAGAGTATCTTCCCAAACCTTTCAAATATCCAGAATCTCAAAGAGGTCTACCTAGGAGCTATGAATAAATCACATATAAATTTGCTTCTTTTTTTCCTTTTCTTTTTTTACAGCCTGACATTGAGTGCATTGAAAATGTCCACACAGCAATAAGTATTCTGTGAACCAAAGAGATTTGTAGTTCTTTTTACTTTTCCTTCTTCCACTGGAGTTTCCAAAAACAGATTAAAATTATACTTTAAAAACTTGTAAAACATGCAGCTAGTTATACTGAACTTCAGATCCTGCTTGTCATCTCACTGGCAAGCCACTTTAAACCTAAAGGAAGCCAAATACCTTCTGCTTACACTTGTGGTACATTGTACAATGAGGATCGTTTTACCACAGTTCTAACATGCACTACGTCTTCCTTCTGTTTTGTCTGTATTTTTTGCCAGTGCTGAATAAGGGTCAATGTGTAACAAAGTATTACCGCTGGATGCAGAAGAATGGAGGTTATATTTGGATACAGTCTAGTGCAACCATAGCTGTCAATGCCAAGAATGCAAGTGAGAAGAATATCATCTGGGTCAATTACCTTCTTAGGTAGGTCTTCCAGTCACTTCTGTCACTTCAACTGCTGTGTCTGTTGCATGTTTCTGTTGGTGGGAATTTTAAGGAAAAAACAATTGCCTGCTGGAGAAAGTTAAGGAGAACTTTTTACGCAGCCCACCTCAAAAGCAGTGCCATTTCGTTGTGTTTACTAACACGTCATGTTTCAGTACACTGGAATGTTCTTGAATTATTATGCTGTCTTAGTCTTCAGGTAAACCCTCCACCATTTTGTCGCATCCTTCCACTGCCCTGAAATCTACTCAGCCTGAGCTCAAAAATGAAAATGATGCACCCTAGCTTTCAGTAGCTGTGTTACAAAATCTGATGTGAAGTGTTGGACACTGGTTTATCTGGTTATTGAAAAGGCATGGAAGAAAACTCCTGGAATGCTACAAAAAGGTCCCTCTAAAAGGCGTTTGCCAGCTCATTCCAGAGAGAGGAATTTTCTCAGGAGAAAAGCCTTGAACTAGGATGTTGCTCCTGTAACTATCAGACAGTAATCACAGTGAAAAAGGCACAATAGGATTTAAAATACAAGCAGCTATTAAAACTGTTTAAACTATCAGAACTGTTTTAAATAGAATTAGTAGAAATATCTTGAATGAAAGGCTCTTCCCTGAGAAGTTCTGTTTACCAAAGCCCAAGTATTTTTAAAGGACTTGTTTTGTGAGCTCAAGTGAAGACCAACAGTTACGTGAGAGACAGTGAATTACGAATCTGACCTTTCTCTCTGAAAATACCTTTCAACACATTCTGTTTTGTGAAAATGTCCAATAAGATTGGGAGATTTTCTGTTTCATTCCAGAGCAGAAGAAACAAACAAATAAAATTTGAAACCTCAAGATTGTCACTAAATGTAATTGTCATTTTCTGTCCTGTTCTCCTTTTAAGTTGCTTGTCATGGTTCGTTACATTCCCTTTGATGCCATGAGAGTTCAAAGTGATGTCTAGGGGTTAGATTGTGACTTACTATGCCAAGTCCAGCAAGCCCTTAAGAGACTGTGCCTGCCTGGAATACTTTTGATTCCTGTTTTGGGAAGGAGAGCATTGAGGGATACTGTGGGAAACCTTCCACAGCAGGGCAATGTTCATTGAGGCTTGCATGTTTCTGTCCTGCCATGATGAAACACGGGCATTTCTGAATATATTCTTATCCTGCTCCTTTTTTTGTCTCTTTTTACATGGGTGAGACAAAACGCAGTGTTTCAAAAGGTCAGCTTAAGCCTGCCTATTCTGAAACGGACATACAGCTTCACTGCCCCAGTCCTAGCAGGGCTTCAGAACGTCCAGAAGTGTGTTGCCTCTGGCCTCTTTGCTGCTTTCCAGACAATAAGTGAACCTAGTCCACAAATGTCCCACAAAATTATTTTATCTGCCAGTGGAATATACCTAACAAAAAAAGAAAAGCAGTGTGGTCTTCCCCAAGTGTCCCCCCAGAGCCTGATTTTTGTGCTGCATTCTCTTCACTGGTCTGTAAAGAGAGATTACTTTTGCCACGGAATTTGTATTTTCAGTTTACATTTCTCTTAGTACTGGAATCCATGGAAGATCCAAATGTCCAAATAATATTTTAATGACAGATCAAGGCATAATTAGGTCTACTCTTAGCAGGAGTACTGGTCTGTATACATTTCCATGTATTAGAAAGTATGATTCAGCTGTCTGTAAAAGGATAGACTAATTATAGTGACAGGGAGGATTAATGCTGTTCTTGTTCTAGCAACTTGTTATTCACCGTGTGAAAGCCCTCAAACATCTTTTGCTTGGAGGGGGCAAATTTGGGGACTGCCCTGGGATGCAACAGAATAAAGTCACTTTGTCAGGGCAAAGCCATAAAGATGGTAATCGTAAGAATGGCATTTCAATGTGAACTGTGTGAACTCTGAATTTTCACAGTGCGCTGTAATAGGCTGAATATGGGCACACTGTCATTGTGATAGTGTGTCAGTCACCCCCAGTGCTGCCTCGTATTGTTCTATGAAGGACTGCGGATTTTCTGCTCTATCACCAGGCTGGAATTTGAACGGCATAGAAATGCTCACCTATTCAAAAATGATTAAAGACTTGATTTATTTTCAACATTCCTATGCCACATATGGCTAGCTGTGTCTGTTGCCCTGCATTTTGCACAGAATTGGGAAAGGAACACATTTTAAAAGGTACAAACCAAGAAATAGCGTAGGATTGTGGGGGGTTATTTCAGTTTCTGTGGTAGTGTAGCTTTTTTACATTGCAGTCATGTTCACTGCTAACAAGTCACAGGTGAGCACCACATGAGCAGATGAAGATATGATTATAATGGGTGTGTTGACAGTTCTTTATCCCTAACATATGCATCTTAACATGCACATGTGCATCTGTCATAGAGTGGTTGCTTTTGGTTTCTTGGTGATATGGATGCATGTGTGCAGTGTTTTAAAAATACATAACCTTTTTTGTCTATTTTTTTCGCCAAATTCTTTTGAGCAATGGTCATTTTCTCTAGCCCTAACTGAGCACCTTCTTGCTCACTTTCTGTATGGTCTGCTTGATTAAAGTGTGGAAAACAGGAGTGTTGGGAAAAATGGTATTGAAAGGGCTCTTGCAAGGTTGATAGAGAACATTGCTATAGAGATAACTCTAATAGACATTGCCAGTGGGAGAGAAACAGATTGGAAAAGTTAAAACACCCTCTCTGTCCTTCCAAGCACAGTAATGGGATCGAAATCGAGATATTTTGTTGTTGGATGATTACACAGTGTAGCTTTACTGTTAGATATCACATAAGCCGTGGTGTCCCACTTCAGTAAGAATGCTGTGATAGCTCTAAAACTTCACTAGAATCAAACAAGTTTTAGTACCTGGTCAATATAAGTATTTGACAGCGCTATTAAAATAAACCTTCATAAAATCCCTGCTGTGAGGCTCTGAGGAGCAAAAAAATGTATGTTTCTGTGTTTGCTCTGCTAGTCTTTCTATATATGTTCTTTGTTTCTGAACTTTGATATGAAAAGAGAGGAAAGCCATGAAACTGGAAATCATCCAATTGTGTTTATATTTGCTGTCTTCTCTTCAGTAACCCAGAGTACAAGGACACTCCAATGGATATTGCACAACTTCCTCATCTGCCAGAGAAAACCTCAGAATCCTCAGAAACCTCTGACTCTGAATCGGACTCAAAGGACAACTCAGGTAACACATGGTGTGCCTTTGCATCCACAAAAGGTTCATATCATGAGTGCCACGTGATTGTCTTTCTGGCTGCCTTTACTTCTCAATCCTGTTTAATTAAATTGAAAAACACTAGCGAAATCTTTTACTGACCTGGGCATTTCCACAGCATCTCCATTTCTTCAGTATTTCTCTTCACTCTGTGCATGCATCCTTGCCTACATTGCACCAAATGAAATATTTGATTTCCCAGCTAAGCTTCGTGAACAGGTATTGTGCCTTGTGCAGAGGATCTGGGATTCTAACTGTTGAATAAAATTCTAGTTCTTATCTTTCCAGAGTAGGCATACATTCTGAAGATAAGTCTCGACTGTCAATCTTTATGACCCTTTTTCCTGTATAAATACATTTTTGAAGAGTCTCACTAGGGAGCAGTGAAGGTTGCAAAACTTCAGGGTTTTCTTGGGTTGAAAGAACTATATTTTATTAGAAAGTATGGGTTCAAGCACTTGTTTCTAAGTTCTTGAAGTCTGGGACTTGAGCTGTTTTTTAAAAGCTAAATGTACTTGTCAAACTCAATGTGTAAATTAGTCTTACAGATGGTCCAGTTCACAGATGGTTCACACATTCCCCATTAGTTTTAGAAGTGGTTACCTAGGCATAGGTATGGATCATCTGGCTTTGAAAGGAGTGTGATTTCCTGTGTCCCAAGAACTAAGGATGTTGCTCTGCTGTAGTATGTGATATAGGTATCTGATTTTCCTCATGTCTGTAATAACAAACATGAAAAATCTGGAGAAAATGGATTGCAGTGACATAAATCAAGGAAAAGGAAGAAGAGGATCAGGGCTTTGTGTTATATTAGATTATATGATAGGGCTGTTCTCTTTCATCTTTTGCTTTTATTTGTTCTCCTTTGATAGTTTGATTTGATGGTTTAAGTTAACATTAGGCACACATACAGGCTTGTTGCCCACCATCTCTTCATCTATTCCCAGTACTTCCTTTATGCTGTCTTGTGTCTAAGTAGCCAAATGACACACATGTGGAGAACAGTTTGCATTTCCCATGTGCACTGTAAGTTTCTCCAGGTGAGAAGTGCACATGCATTCATGACTCCTAAGGGTGATACAGAGCAAGAGAGCATTCTTAAAAGGCGCACAGATGTGTACATCTCAGAAGCAGATGTCTGGGAGTTTTGGAATAGAGCAGAAGCAGGGTGTTGTTTCTTATGAAAGAATTAACTAGAAATGCCAAGGGACCTGAAATTGGAACAGAGTCTTGGACAAAACCAACAAGTACAGTTAAAGTTCTGATAAAATGCCAGGCAAATTTTGTGCAGTTTTAGGCTACCTCAAGCCAAGCCCACATTTGACTAGCTAGACCGTAAAAAAAAAAAAAAACAACAAACAAACAGAACCTAAAAAAAATCTTAAAAAAAAAGGGAAAAAAATGTAGGAGAAATTCAGGCCTAGCTGAAACAAAAAGATGGATGAGATTTAGGAGTTTGTGGCTGTTACTTTTCTTCTGTGGGTTTAATTTTTCAAAAGGGAGGGTCTTTTGCCTGCTAGTGACTCATTCAAAGTCCCACCAAGTGACTTGTGAAGTACATTGCCCTGGATCCTCAGGCAACTTCCCCGTCAAGCTCACCTTCTCGAGCACTTCTGGGAAACTGGTATTGACATGGCTCCAGGAGTAACCAATCTGTAGAGGAAAACTGGCCCTTCTCCTCTCCCCCTAAAATGAGTATATTGAAAAGGGTAGTACTTGGCTCTGATGAGTGAAGAAACATCTTTTATTTCCTAACAAAAGATTTCTGGCTGGTCTGTAAAGGACGGGATCTCCTGAAGCCTTTCGTGACCCTTTCAAACACAGTATGATAATGGAGCGTATTCAGCCTCAAAGCTGCTTTGGCTATGTGAGTCCAGTGGGCTTGAGTGTTTATCTCATCCCTATTAGAATTAGGTAAAAATCTAAAATACAACTAAATGAATTCAGACAAGAAGAGTGACAGCTTCTCAGTGCTGTAGCTGGGCTATTTTCAATGGCCCTTAGATAATTTGGCCCTTAGATAATCAATCAAGAATTTAATTCACTGCTTGAATATTTTTTTCTGGATTTTTTTTGTATTTGTTGCCTTTCAGGGGAATATGAGAAGACAGTCTAGCAATGTAACAAAATTGTTTTAACTGGTTTATTCATTCAGATTCATACACATATGACCTGCTTCTCCTCTCACACGGGAGAAAATCGGCAGTAATTCCACTGAAGTCAGAGACACTGTGCCACTTTGAAAGTGGCAATGGTGAGAGGAAAATGAGATGAGAGGACTGGAATCTTCATTAGTAAATAGTGCTGCACCTGGATGCCTGCCCACTGTAGGAGGACACGGATGTGAAAGAACAATCACGAGAACATAACGGTCATAATGGGATTGTTCATTGACTCCTCTGGGGATGACACAGCTACAATGCTGTTGTGCTCACAGTTGTCAAAATGATTCTTGTCCAGCGAGCAGATGAAAAGGCCCCCCTCAATAAAGGTGCGGGCCACATAGCATAGGCTTTTACTGCATTAACAGTCCTGAGTCAGAGAGATTCACGGTGATCAAACTCTCCCAACACAACGTTGCAAAAGAAATTGTGGCTCTACATAACATAAAAATTTTGCTGAAAAAAAAAGAGTTTACAGCAGTCAAATCTCATTGGTAGGTAGAAATCTGGAGTTGAGTTATAATGTTATGTTCCTGTTGCTAATGGTTTGTTTCACTTTCCTTTTGCTCCAGAGGACAATGAGAACTCAAAGTCAGATGAGAAAGGAAACCAGTCGGAAAACAGTGAAGACCCTGAATCTGACAGGAAAAAGCCAGGAAATCAGTCGGATAACGAAATGAACTGTAATGATGATGGGAACAGCTCCAGCAACCAGGACAGCAGGGACAGTGATGACAGCTTTGAAAACTCTGACTTCGAGAATCAGAAGGCCCCTGAGGACAGTTTTGGCACTCTTGGCTCTATGCAGATCAAGGTGGAGCGCTACGTTGAGAGTGAGTCAGACTTGCGGTTGCAGAACTGTGAATCACTGACCTCGGACAGTGCCAAGGACTCAGATAGTGCAGGGGAAGTAAATGCCCAGTCTTCCAGCAAACATCAAAAGAGGAAGAAGAGGAGAAAAAAGCAAAAGGGAGGCAGCATGATCCGGAGGAGGCTGTCAAGCACCTCAAGTCCAAATGGACTTGACTCAGCTTTGGTGGACCAGCCCCAGCTGCTCTCGTCACCAAACAGTGCCTCAGTGCTCAAAATTAAAACAGAAATCTCAGAACCTATCAATTTTGATAATGATAGCAGTATTTGGAATTACCCACCCAACAGGGAAATCTCAAGGAATGAATCACCCTACAGTATGACCAAGCCCCCCAGCTCCGAGCACTTCCCTTCCCCCCAAGCCAGCAGTAGTTTACATGTCTCCATTCCAGACTCCGTTCTCACCCCACCGGGGACTGAAAATACTGCCAGCCGTAAAACTCAGTTCAGCACCTCATCCAACTCAGCCTTGGCTCCTGTGTCCTCTGACCCTTTGTCACCCCCGCTTTCGGCGTCTCCACGGGACAAACATCCAGGAGGTCCCACAACTTCCAACTCTTTGTTGTACACTGGGGACCTGGAAGCCCTTCAGAGGTTACAAGCAGGCAATGTGGTGCTTCCTTTGGTTCACAGGGTAACGGGAACCCTTGCTGCGACCAGCACTGCTGCTCAGAGGGTCTACACCACTGGCACTATTCGGTATGCTCCAGCTGAAGTTACTCTAGCCATGCAGGGCAACCTCCTCCCCAACACCCACGCTGTTAACTTTGTTGACGTTAACAGCCCCAGCTTTGGGCTGGATCCTAAAACACCGATGGAAATGCTCTACCACCACGTTCACCGACTCAATATGTCGGGACCGTTTGGAAGCGCTGTGAGCGGGGCCAGTCTGACCCAAATGCCTGCAGGGAATGTGTTCACAACTGCCGAAGGACTTTTTTCCACTCTTCCATTTCCTGTGTACAGCAATGGCATTCACACTACACAGACTCTGGAACGGAAAGAGGATTGAAATATGACCACATACTGTGTTCAGTGTTATACTCTGAGGCATAGACTATGTTTTAATTTAGACCTTTAATTCTAGCACTTTGAATTTGAGCAGGTCAGCTTATTCTCTCAATACGATGGTCCCCATTTCATTCCCTTTCTCTTTAACTTGACTTATTCTTTAATGTAAAGATATTTTTTTATTTTTGCCTTCAGAGAGTCGAAGTACCAGTTGCCTGCCATTTTGTCTTCTTCTAAGATGTGTGTTTTTTCCTTTGCATCTTTATTAAGATGCCTTTAATATGTGTATGCCTCTGCCATAGAATACTCAGTGTTGTGGTAAAGAGATTTTAAAGTGACAAGCATTGGTTTTACTTCAAAATGATCTTGATATGATCAAGATTAAAAGAGACAAGCATAAACAATGTGCCCTGTTTGACTAAGTCAAATGAAAAGGGGTTTTTGTTCCTAATTCCTTTAAAATAGGGGATAGTATTTTAGAATTTTATGCAGAGTTTAATTCTCTTTTTATGGTTAAGATTTTTCTTACTTGCACATAAAATAATTTGGGTTCTTAAAAAGTTAATTTCTGGCCTGTGACTAGAATGTTAAAAAGTTGGACTAAATGTTAATTACTGAAACTTTAACTTAATTTCTAAAACCATGGTGCTATCATTTATTAATCTGTAATGTCTTCATACAATATGCAGCTTGTGGGCTGGGTTTTTTGGAAAGAATGTGTTCCGTACTGGTTTATAGTCAGGTGCTGCAGTCTCCTTGGTTAGTTAAGACAAAAGCCCTCATTAACATTTGCTGCAGGACTTAAATTTTTTACCTCCAAACTAACAAGCATAGCCTCACATCAAATTTAAATGGGTCAGGAAGCCTTTTTCAAAAAGAGCTTAAAAACAAAAAACTCAATTTAATTGACGCGAGGAGCAGTTTCTTAGGTGCATATTGTTTTGCTTTATTTTTTTCTCAGTGTAACTGAGGCTAATTTTACAACATCAAATAACACTTCAGAGTAAGAAAAAAAGGAAGGACTATTTAACATGTTTTGGTTTGTTTTTCATTTAATATTATAGAGGGAAGGTTGTAAATTTCTTTTTGTTCTTTGATTTGGGTATTTTTTCTTGGTTTTTCCTTATTTCTAGTGTGGAAACCAATATGTTTTAAAACTAAAGAATGGGTTAATAAGCTTGAAATAGATAACTACAACTGAAAACTGCACATTAAGTAAAAGAAAAGAAATCTCCTATTTTGTCTTTGTTGCCAGAAATCACAGTGTAGTGTCAAACACTCCAAATGACTGTCAAATATAAATTCTTCTTCCACTCCATCTTTGGCAGCTGTTTGTTAAGGCATCTAATAACAGATGTGAGAACTGTAATGTGTACAATGTGTAAGTGTCCTTGGCTGTCAGTCCCATTGCAGTTTCAATGTGTGTTACTATATGCAGTATATACTAAGCTAATGTAGTTGTTTTGTCCTTTGTCTTCTCTGTGCTTTATCTCTAGTCCGGAGTGGTAAAGTCCCATTCCTGCAGTCCTAGTGAACCAGTGATTCTTGGGGGTTAGTGGTTTTTGTGTGGTGGCCTTCCTCTGTAACGTCACCTTATGCTGCTTCCACTGTCTGTATACCTTTTAATTTCTGCTGTTGCTTTGCTGTTGTGTATTCTCAGACCTCTCTTTTCCCCTCCCCTCGCCCTTCCACACTTTTCCCCCCCTCTCTTTCTCTCGCTCTCTCGTTCTCTCTTCTTCACTCTCAGAGATAAAAGACTCTTAACTAGCTCAAGGTTAATGGAGCCATTTTTCCCACAGAGGAATTCTGGGTATGACTTACTCTTCCAGTGTACCCCACAATGCACTACGGAGTAATGCTCAGATATATTAAGCAAATTGACGCCATATAGCCTCAGTTGTTAACATTCCCAGAGTCCCTTGTGCTCGAACTGTAAGCAGAGGGTGCATTTCTTTGGTTTTCTCCCAGGTAGGCTGGCGGAGTAATACGTAGAGCAATTACCGATGAGGTAGGAAATGCTTTCAAAGGTCAACCAGCATTGTTTAAAAAGGAAACCGAGCTTAGAATTGTCATATATATTTGCTTACGTGTGCAATGCTAATGTATTAACTCAGCTGTCCTTTGAATTTTTGATCGCTCACTGCATTGAGTCAATTCCTGCGATAGCTTTGAGTTTGAGAAGTGGGTCCAAGCCACAGTGGAGCAATAGCAAAAAAGGGGTTGGATGCCACAAATTTAATTAAAGAGCTTTTCGAAGTTCCATTGGAAGGATTTAAGTAGGTCTAAAAAAGGCGAGAAAGCCGATTGGGAAATTCAAAGTTTAATTTTGGAAGCTCTACTCTAGCTATGGAACAATCAAAGGAGTGCACCTATCAGCTACAAAGAACAGCTAGACAGCTGTTGTTGTTTTGGGTTTTTTTTTATAAATGTTTCTGTGTTGTGTCAAAATGATTTCTGGTGATTTAAACTAACAGATAATCACAGCTGCTGTCTAAATCCATAGTGTTTAAAATTACAAAATGAAAAAAAAAACTTCATTACCTGTGAAGACTGTGTCTGTGTTTTTAACTATTTCTTGTACAAATATATGAAATCTTTTATGAGGAGACTGGTGCCAAGTAGCTGAATAATGGGGAAAGGGATTCTGTTCGTATAAATCTTAGCAGTGTTACCAACTCTACAATATAAAAAAAAAATTAAAATGTTAAAAAGTGACAGCTATGGTACATTTATTTTGTGTTAAGCTAACCGAATCTAACTTCTTGAGTGCCTGGCTTATTTGAAACATTTTTTTCATTGATCATTGATAATGCTGCAAATCAGAAATGTACATACTTCATTTACAACAGGGTTCTTTTTATACTTTTGTAGATTCTCATACATGTCATACATGGTTGTCTTTATGTAACTTAATTTTTTTTCATCCCGCAGGTGCCATTTTCATAATAAACTTCTCTTGGATTTGTTACTATCTGGCATCATTTCTTTTACATATAACCATCCTGACTAATGAATGCTGGTAGTATTTGTTTGAGCAGGTATTTTCTAATTGTTTTGTTTAAAAAAAAAAAAAGAACCAAAACAAGAAAAAATAACCAAAAATCAAAGAGGATAAAGCTAGATTTTATTAACGCTTGTGAAATGAAGAAAAGAAGCTGTCAAGATGTAGGTTAAGAATGCTAATCCAAATACTACAACAAACTTGCCACCATCCTAAATTCTCAGCTACCCCAACTCATTGTCATATTGAGCATTTTTATGCACATTATCAAAGCTGAATAATGGGCCTGCGACATTAACCACTGTAGAAAGTGTGCATTTTTTCTTGATTAATGCACACTGGAAGAGGTCAGCTTTTGTACATTAATCATTTAAAATGCACTTTATATTTTCATTTTTGTACTCTACAATGTTACGGTGAAGCTCTTCAGTCACATTATATCCTACCTAGGCTGCTGGTTCTTTTAAATATGTGCTTTCTTTCCCCAGACTAGCAACGTGTAAGTTGTTGGTGTCGTGTGGCTGCTTTCTGCCTTACAAACTGAGGAGAGAAACTTTTACCGTTGTAGAAAAGACAAGGCAAAAAGCCTTGACCTCACAACTGAAGGGGAAAAAAAAAAATCAAATACTGATTTGGTTACGCAGACATCCGCACACAGTGGTTGATCCTAAAAAGGGAAGAGCCATCGGCGATTCCGCCTGCGTCAGTCCTGAAAAAAGGTCCAGAGCAAGTGTGTTTGGTCTCTGCTGTGCAAAGCAGGGAGAAGCTCTGCTCCGCGAGATGCTGCCCCGGATGCCTGTCGCTGGCAGTGGGTGCCAAGGGCAGGAGAGCGGGAACCTTCTCACCCACCTCTCACCTGGTCTCTTTGGCTTTCTTTACAGTGCCTCCCCTACTTGTGACAAAGATTTCCAGATTCCATACTTTATTTTGTTGAGTATGCAGTCTCTTAAGAATGCAAATTTGAGGCATGTAACATCGAGAAGGTGCTGCCCATAGCCAAAATCCGTAAGCAACTTTGAGTGCCTAGATCTTTTCTCCTCTGTACGTCCAGTTAGAAATTAAAACTACTGGGCTAGTCATTCTGAATCAGATTTTAGCCGCTTTATTAATGCCAAGTAAAAATGTCTAATCGGTTTCACAGTTTTCAGCACATGTCTTTATAGCGAAGGATGCATTCAGCTGAATTAAGAGCATGAGAAATTGGCTTGCTGGGCTGATAAAACAAACAAACAAAAACCCACAAAAAATGTATGAACAGTTATAGCTCTGTAAGCCCGCCCGATAGCTTAATAGCTTGAAGTCTGGCTCTTTGAGTTCCCAAGTGGTCCAGAATTCCCACTTCCCAGGCTCCAGGCATGGAGTTTGATATGTCTCCAACTTGGAGGGGGTAGAAAGGAGCAGAGGTTAGCAGTGCTGCTTTCAGCTCTGCTCGCGTGTTCCAGTTGGCAACGCATCCTGTTTATGAGGTAGCTAAGGGTACAGATGCCAACCGAGAGGAAAACAGAATTTAAATGGAGATGGGAAGAATGACCAGAATAAAGCTTAATGGAAGAATAACATGCCTGTTCCAAGTAAGTGTTAACCAATATTAACTAAAGCCACTATTTCCAAGAAGGGGCTTGAGGGTGGTGTTTCTGGGTTGTTATAAAGGCTTTTTAAATCTCAGCCATACTGCCTATACATTATATCAGTTGATCAAAATGAACAGACTGCTCTAAGACACACAGTTGAACAAGGAAGATTGGGCATTAAAAAAAATGATGGAAAGGTTTTTTCGTGTTAGCTATTTTTGTAGTGATGCTATTGCATTGGTTTAGCTCTGGGGAGCAGATTTTATAAATTATTATTTGTAGGAACTTTAAGAAACAAAAACTTCTTGAAAGGATTGCACACTTTCAAAGGGATTCTTTGAGGTTGGTCTATTTTGCTATTTTTTATAATATTTGAGGGAAAGCTTTGTCGTGCAGGAAAATTTGTCAAGTCATTTCATCAAAGAACATTTCCAAAAACAACTGATCTCAGTAACTGTCATCTCTGGAAAGTTCGTTCCTGAACCACTTGTTTCGAAAAGTGATATATGCTTGTTTTGAAAGGTGATGTATGCAGGTATCTAAAGGCCACGTGAAGAGCTGCAAGGGGAAGAGGGCTGTTTCAAAGCATCATGACTCTGAAAAGTTACAGTGGCCAAAAAATGTTTCAGGACTACTTAGAGAACCGGCTCTGACAGCTTGCACTGTTGCTATTGCAAGGTGGTCGCATCACTGGAGTAACTGCGATGCCCCTAACAGCACATTTATTGTTATGATTCTAGGAACTGCATTAGTTTAACTGTGTCAGTGCTTTCAGAGCTATTTGCATAGTATTTTTCCTTCTTGCCATTGTAATTTCTTTATTTTAATTTTAGGGCTGGGGCAGAAGGGTGGAAAGGCTGGATGTGCATTGTCAACTAATTTAATGAACTGTCATCTATCCAGCGAGTTTACTGAAGAGCCTACAGAACTGTGAACAAATGGGATGTCGCCAGAGCCACAGATGCTCAGGTAAGATCAAACCATTTATAAAACATGCACATGCATGCACACAGACATACAGATCTGCTGCCTCTGAAAGCCAGTTGGGCTTTCAGACTGGACAAGGTAGTGCTTATGTACCTATACATAATTAAGGTCCTTTCTTCCCCTCTTCCACCTATTTCTTCATCTTTCCATCAAAAGCAGCGAGTACAGGAAGCTGTTTTCATAACACGTATCCAGTCACATCAACACTTTTTTTTTCACCAAATCAAACAGAATATTTCTGAAGGCAATAGGACTCGAGATAAACCAAGGATGCAGAGTTCTGCTTTTAGTTGACCCAAATCAGGGTGAGTATTCTCCACCACAGTTTTTCAGCAAGAGGAAGTAGAACAGTTTTTATTTCTGTAATCACCATGAAGTGAGTCTTTCAGCAAAACAAAAGCCCAGAGTAGTTCATAATTCTTTCATACAAATAAGCCAATTTTTAGGA